AAAAAAAATCAATAAAATGCAGGAAAATCTTTGTTATATGATAAAATAGACATATACAGACATTTTCTTCTGATCCACCGACCCGCATGTTCTCCCTTTATTCGATGAAAGTTTGGCATAAAGTGTTAAATTTTTAAATAATTGACTTCTCGTGATAGACTTTACATCAGTGACGTTACGTAATGTTATTTGAGACTTTATGAAGTTTTCAGATAAAACATCGCAAGGGAATCATATTTCAAGTAAAAATGACTATACTTAGTTCAAATAATCGGCTCTGTTTTTCGGCGCCATTATTGCCATCATGATTAGCTCCAAATAATCTAGGAATCTGCCATTAATGTTTGCCACTTTGGTTTTCTATTGATTTTTTTGGTACCCGGAAATCAAAACATTTGTTTTACCGTAGAGAATTATTGTCGATACTAAGTAGGCTTTATAAGTAGTTGGGGTGTAGTGCAGAGATCAATCGAGGAAAGCGTCGACACCTGTTATTGACTAGCATGCTAATCTGTCTGCCGACAAACGTGCACATTGCATCTTAGGATATAGGGGCGGCGTCTTCAGTATTTACCTTTAAAGCAGAAGATTTTGGTTCAACCGGGCCAGGCTGGGTGAGTATTAAGGTATGATGACGTCACCGTCTATTGGCATTTTAATTAGTTTACCAATAATATTAGATTCCTGTGCTTGGTTAACGCACACACATGCGTGTGCGTGCGAGTGTTTAACCACTTATGCACACATTTTCTTTTTGCGGTTGAAATTAAAATTCTGCGTTTTAATAGCCATATTCGTAGGTACCTAGGGTTGAGATCGCCGACGCTCAACTGGCAAATATTACAATGCTTTGTATATTCATTTGTGGGCTATGCCACGTATTTGTTCATTTGTAGAATCAATTTCATAGGGATTTTCCTGGCTTAGGAATAGGAACTGTTTTTGTATGTCCATGCATTTGTAGACTATTCATGCATGTGAGGAGGATATTAACGTTGTTTCATTCCGGATTAGAAAATCAATGGAATGTTATAGTTGAATTACTGTTTGCATCAAGCTTAGAAACAGACGAGTTCTAAACTTAGTAGTAGGTAGCGTACGGACATTCTAATGTACATGACAATGGCGAATCCAGGGTGAATACCGCCTGCACGTTCTCCCTCCCCCCACCCATTCAGCTTAGGAGAAAGCTCTCTCTTGTTCGAAACAAGACAAAACCAACCACTTTTCTCATCCTTGTGCCCTTCACATAATTACGACGGAATAACCCCGTCTGCTGTTTTAAACCTTTCGAGCAATATTTTTAGTCAATGCAAAATCTTGGATCCACCATCGCAGCGTCGGCGCTTTGAGTAGGGAATCATACGAGATGGCCTAAAACGAGGCTGTCGGCACTGTGTGACGTCATACGAGCGTAGAAAACGAGCGAGCGTGCGTGTGAGGTGGAATTAACTTTCAATTAAGCGGCGCAAAACGGTGAATTCGCACTGTTGCATGTGCATCGCAGACTGCAAAATCTAAGAGATAACACTCAGGAAAAAATCCTTGGATAAATTCTGCCAGCTTTTATTCGTTGCCTCGTAGCACTCGCTAGTCTGCCATTATTTCTGATTACACTCTCCTCCATATCCTGGCGAAATCCTGCTTGATTTTACGCTTAGTCGTGAAACGTAGGAAGAACTAAGGTTATTCCCAATTATCTATATTACTTTAAAATAAAATTATTATTTAAGCGGAAAGAGAAATGTTTTATAGCTCTGGCAGTAGTATTGGAAATGGCTGGCAGAGGGAAAGAAGCGCATTAAATGCAAGAAACATTTAGGGCAAAGAAGTTCATGGGAAAAAGGATGGATAAAAACTCACAAATAGACAATGAATAGTAGTTCGTCTGTTGAACTTGTGAAATGGTGAGTGCTAGCACTAACTGTGGTTGTGATTCGCCCTCTGTACTGATCGTTTGCAGGGGCTTCACATTTTATGATTTCAGCATGGAAACTTTTTTAAAATCCCTTTTGAAATGCAAAATAAAAACCTCAAAATGACCTCAATAGTGTATCATGTTTCTTAAATTACAGTTAACGAGTATTTCCATTTGTTTACAGCTAAATACTTTTCTACCAGAATTTTAGTAACACGATAAAAAGCCACAGCGTACACAATTCAATACACACATTGCATCTCTTATTCAATTCACAGTTGCCTGATGCTTTTATTCTCCATGAATCCTTCCCTAATTGTTTTCAAGTCAGTGAAGTGAAATGATTAACCCCAGGAGTAATAACATACGTTGACTGATGGATCTATTTGTCAGTGGACAGTCTGCCAAAATAAAAAAAAGACAAACTAGCCGATATATTGCCACCTTGAGTTCCAGGCTCATCGATTTTCCATTTTCAGTTTTGCCATAGCAGCTTTTCCTCGTTTACACCCAATACTTTGGAAGCTATCTGATCATCTTCGGTGTTCAGATAGAAATCCATGCGTGTAGTCTGCAGATAATAATCAAATAATAAGTCTAAACTAGTTTAATAGGCTTCGCGTAGAAAGTTAAAAGTTAAAATTTTGTTCTAAATGATGTACAGTATATAGC